CGTTACAAAACTATTCCGCATACACAGCTAGTTCAAGTGACAAGTGGATTCAAAGTTTGTGTCAGAAGCTAATCTAAAACACTGCTTACTGCCTTTCTAAGTAGGATCTTACTTGTAAGGTGGTGTACCTTTTCCCAACCTTCTCTCCCGTAACCTCCCCAAAAGACACTGCCATAGTAGGAAACAGAACCAGAATGCTTTCTCTGTTTCCCTATAATAATAAAAGGAAAGTAATACATGTATTTACTGAACTTTTTTTTTTTTTCCCATCACTGAGACTTAAAAAAGCATGCTAAACATAAATTAAACCACTCATCTTGGGTCTCTTATATTGTTACTTTGCATTCCAAGATGTGATGTTTCATTTTAGGCTTTAGGATACTTAGGAATGAAAATTGGCCACCTTCTAGATGATCATATTCTGGGCATTTCTTTGCTCTTTGTTTTTGCGTAGGCAGCCTTGAAAATCATCTCATAACAGCAGTGTTTGAAATCTTGCTTTAAAAAGCCCTAATTTATGCGCATAGCATGCTAAATGTGCTGTTGTAGTTAATACAATCTTATGTCTGCTTTTTCTAAGCTAGCTGCACTTTCTGGTTATTTAAAACTGGCATCTTGACTTAATTCTCAGCATAAAAGATTGTTGTTTGGTTTGCAGGTACTCCCCAGAGCATCTTGCAGGACAGAGAATTAGTGTGTTCTCATATGGCTCTGGTTTTGCTGCTACTCTGTATTCCATCAGAGTTACACAGGATGCCACTCCTGGTGAGTGAAACGAAGAGACGCTAATTAACTCCCTTGCACAGCTCACCTCTAAAAGCTTTGCTACATTACCCATCAGCCTAAGTAAATCTGTAGAACAGTGCTTAATGACAGTAACATTAAAGATGTTCCACCTCCAGGGTATGTTTTAAGTGACTCTTTAGGCAAATAGATAATATTTTTCAAATGCTACAAGTGTTTTTCTCAAGTAAATGGGAGTATTCATACCTAACTAGAAACTTTGCTTCTATAATGCAGAATATTTTGAATAGTCTTGCTATGCTAACATGCTAGTGTGCAGCTTTTGGCACTGGTGCAAATGGTACATGATGGGTTTCTGTTGTAGGTTCTGCACTGGACAAAATAACTGCCAGCCTTTCTGACCTTAAAACAAGACTTGACTCAAGAAAATGTATTGCACCTGATGTCTTTGTTGAAAACATGAAGATTAGACAGGAAACTCATCACTTGGGTAAGAGCTTCATAAGCGTGTATCACAGAACCATAATCATAGAATTGCAGAACGGTTTGGGTTGGAAGGGATCTTAAAGGTCATCTGATTCCAGCTCCCCTGCCATGGGCAAGGACACCTCCACTAGGTCAGATTGCCCTGTGCCCTGATCATCTTCACGGCCCTCCTCTGGACTTGCTCTGATAGGTCCATGTTGGTCCATGTCCTTTGTATGTTGGGGGCCCTAGAGCTGAACACAGTACTCTGGTATTCCAGTATTCCTAATCCTACAGCAAAATACTTAATTTGCACAGCTGTAATGATTTGGTTATGTAATGAAGAGGATGTCCAACTCTTTCTACTTCCTTATAGCTTGTAAAGTGCTTTCCTGTAGCTCGTATTCATTGAAATGAAATGAAACCAAATGATGCAAGTTTTCCTGTCTTAGTACTTATAAACTACAACACGTAAAGGCCAGTGTTGAATGAAACTCTCACCAGGAACCAACTAACAGGATGTGTTTGTTTATTTTTATTTTTGCAGCCAACTATATTCCACAGTGTTCTGTAGAAGATCTCTTTGAGGGAACATGGTACCTTGTGCGTGTGGATGAAAAACACAGAAGAACTTATGCACGACGCCCAATCATGGGTGATGGACCTCTGGAGGCAGGAGTTGAAGTTGTCCACCCAGGCATTGTTCATGAGGTGAACACTGTGCGCTCTTTTAAAGTTTGATGTAAATGGTGGAACGGTTTATGTGGTTGTCTTAGCATGTGCATGTATGGTAAAAGATGAAGGGATTTTACAAATTATTTTAAGTGCTTTGTTAAAATATGTAACATACAAGCCAGAAGTTTAAAAAAATAGTAATGGATTTTTTTAAAAGTACATTTCATCATAACAAGAATGAAACTGCACAAGAATGAAACAAGAAGAAACTGGCTGTTTTCACATGATCTCTTTGCATGAAGCATGACGGATATGAATGACTTTAAACCAAGCCGTCCAGTGTAGCATGAATGTTGTTTGAGAGTTGGACTAGCCATGAAGTATTGAATGTACGTGAACTAGAAAACTGTATTTAATGTCTTTTTTCCCTTCTTCTTAGCACATCCCAAGCCCTGCTAAGAAAGTGCCAAGAATCCCTGCAACAACAGAATCTGAAGGCGTTACTGTTGCCATTTCCAATGGGGAGCATTAAGATACCTCTGTGAGGTGGGGAATGGAAAAGGTGTGAGGGTAGGGTGAAAGAAAGGATTACAGTAGTACTGAAGTTGCATTGTACAGTAGTACTTACTTGGGGATGAAAAACCTTCAAACTCCTTGAAAGGATTTGTCTTAATGCAGTGTGCTGATATTTATAGTATTTTCAGGACACTAAAATCATTAATATACTGGAGATAATAGGACTTGCTAGGGGCTTTGTGGATTCTTTAACATGTCTGAATTTTTTTAATTGCTGAGTAGTAGCTGCAGTCTATTACAAGGTCTTTATACATAGGAAAAAAAAGTGAATCTTCTGCTTGCTTCTTCCATGTAAAATGGCTTGAAACCTACACTTAAATTCTACTTGTATGCAAAAGTGTGTGGCAAAATAGTCCAAGCTTTTAATGTTAGGGTTCTCAGTGCCTTGACAGTAAGCAGTCAGTCTTCTGAATTCTGCACTTCTCTTGCCCTTTATCACCTTCCCTTTCTTCTCCCAGTCTACCTCCTCACCCCATTGCTTTGGAAAAGATACAGAACCAAGTAATGTTCATCACTGGAATAAAATCACTCTCCCCTATCAAAATAGTGGATCAAGGACCACAAGGCTAACAGTAACTAACAATGTTAGTTACCATGAGGTTCCACCTAAAACCCACTTTGTGCATTTTTTTTTTTTACCTGCCTTATAAATCACATCAGCCTGGGAGGAAAGAGGAATGACAAGGGAGGTAGACTGTTGTTCTTCTAAAGAACAAAAAGAGGTATATTTCTTGGACTTACTGATTTGGCACTTTTCAGGATTATTTAACTATAACAAGTATTTAAAGCAGCAGAATTTTCAAATAAAACTTTTAGACATTATGGAGCTGTTTTAATTGGCAAACTAAGAAAGGGAGGAGGATAATTTTGTCTGGAACTCTGGCCTCTCACTATTCTTTATATAATACATTTCTAAGAGACTATTTCTAACTTTGGATTTGGCTTTGTACTTTGAAGTCCTTCTCACTATTGGTGATGTCCTAGGAGTGGGGTCTTTTCTTTCTTTTTTTTTTCCCCCCCCAGTATGCAAGCTATCCATTTTTGCAAGTGGTAGATACACAGTTCTAATGGGGATTCCATTCTGGTAGCTTTTTAAAGCCCAGATTGGTAATGAACTATGACATGAGCCTTGTAAGCTTGTATTATATATTTAATTGAGCTAATGTACAGAATGAGGTTTTGTTGAATTTTATTTCTTTGCTAATTCTGCAAAGCTACATTATCTCATATAAAGTAGCAAGAAATGATTCATCTGTTTAAATCATGATCTTTTTTTGTGTAACAAAGTGTTTGTATTATCTGTCACTCAGTAGGATTTGGTAACTTGCTGTATTTGTACAGTCAAGCCTTGGTGAAATAGATGTTTATTATAAATTGATGGATACTAATCTGTTTGTTCTGCTGAAAGTTACGGAGCAATGATGCATGAAGATAGTGTTTGCAAGCATTTTGGTTTAGGTTGCCCTCATGAAACTTGTATTGGCACCAGAAAAAAAATTGCCATGGAACAAAGTCCATTGCTGGCAGTGGACAAGCCAAGAATTGAGCTACTGGCGCAAAAAGTTAACCACAGACCCTCACTGTCTGTGTGGCTGATCCTTTATTAAAATAAAGTTTGAGATATTTGAAACCTGCTGGAGTAGTGCTGACTTGTTGGGTTTTCAGGATGCGTTTTATCTTTAACAGGAAAGGGGAAGCTGACCTTGTGAAAACCCAGAGTGTGGGGGTCACAAGCTGCGTGGGCCTCCTGGATCTTTCTCCTTGATATCATTCCATTACACAAATGGAAAGAAAGGGTTGTCGAGGCTGGTGGGAAATCACTATTTTAGGGCTGTGTTTCAAGATAACTTAAAATGCTTTTGTATGGAAACTTTTTGTAGTGGAGGAATTCATTCCCAGCTTATATAATACAACCAATATTATTACTGTCTTAGGAACAACGGTATCGCTTTATCTCCTCCTCACATACACAGTGAAAGGGGATCAGTTCTTGCTTTTTGCTTACCTGGGTCGTGTTGAGCACAGTTTTCCATGGGTGGCTTTTCAGAGTCATTCTGTTGCTCATTTACATTAATTACTCTTTTCAAGGTCAACGGATCATCTCATTGGTCCTAATAATAGATAAGGCATCCTGCCTTTTAATTTGAGGACACCAACTGTACCTCTCCAAACCTTGCATTGGTTTACCTGTCTTAACTAAAATCATACAGGCTCTGCCTGTCAGCACGGGCACTTCAGTTGTGCCTGTTCAAGAGGGCAGCTAGTACCCATTTACATTGGAGGTGCTGATGTTGCTGATTAAAATGCCTGATTAAAGCTGAAGGTAGAAATACCTACGTCGTGGTGACACTCAAAAAAAAAAAAAAAGGAATTGTCAGGTTTCCAACTTCATGAATATCAAAATCATTTTTTCACCAGCCTCTGTTGCCAAACTACTATGGTAGAAGTTAGTGAAAACACGCCTTAGTATCCACAGTGCTCAGCTTACCCTGGGATGCCCAGTGCTAAAGTGAGAATTTAAAAGTACTTGAGTTTTGGAGTATGCTTATGTTTGTTTCTTTATTGGAGCACAACTGGGTTCTAAACAGCTGTAGACTGTGAGAACCATACAAATACTGGAATACTGGAACAAATACAAATACTGGAACATGTCAGAAGGTTAGATGGCAGCCCAACCAGTTATGCACTGAAAATTGCAGCCACATGTGCAGTGTTAGAGTAGCATATCTGAATTTGCCTTTCTGAATTTGACAAATCAAGAACCATCGTCAATAACAGCCTCGTCCTTTCTATAATTATTTTTTTCTTTTTTAAAGCTCTAATTACATTTTATGTTTAATTTGCTGAATAATTTTTAAGAAGATGATTTTTTTTTTTTTTTTTTTTTTTAAGAATTTATAGTTGTTTGCAGATTGACTGTTCTCTGTGAAAACTGTTCTGGTCTGCAGTGGTAGAGTTGTGTCAAGCTAAGGTAATTTTTTGAGAAGTCAATTGTAACATGTGTGCTTAGAGATCTCCCAGGCATGCTAAGGGCAGTACTATTTGATCTTTATTAAAAGATCACTCCTGCTATTTATCTCATACCTGTTTTACCTGAGTTCTTGCACTGGCTAGACCATGTCTCTGCAGCAAAGGGAAAACCAAGCGCATTAGAGCTCTGCATTTGAGCACTTGAAGTTTGAACTGAGAAATACAAAGGAGATGAGGCATATTTGGTTTACTTAAAAGTTACAAAAAATGTTAACACCAAATCTTGTGAAAAGTGAATAAAACCCTTTGTTAAGTGTGCAGAATATAAAGCCTGCAGTTCAGTTTACAAAATAGAACACAGCTTCGATGTGTACTTTATCCCACTGTAAGAGTTGATTCCTTTCTTGAAGTCTTGTTCTTTGGGATCCGGACAGGACATTATAGGGATGCATTCAAGCGCCCTTTTCTTCTGTACTTTGTGTAAAACAATTCTGTAGACACCTGTTATTGAGCTGCGCGCATCTCTTCCCCGGTTATTTTGAATGTGTTCTTCTGTGATTCCCAGATCTTTTAGAGTGTTTTTCACTTCAATTTCTTCCTCTTTGAGCGTACTGATCTCAGACAAATACTTTGGATCCAGTTTAAATGGCTGTAAAGGCTTAGGGTATTGTATCCCCTGCATCCATTCACTGTTCATAATAAGTTTGACAGAGTATCGTTCTGTTGGTACTGGCTGAAGGACTCCTTTTATCAGTTTCTGGCAAGGCTCTGAGAGGGAGGCAGGCAAGCTGTATGTCCCTTCAAGAATGCACTTTTTCAGTTTGGCCACTGTATCTGCTCGAAATGGCATGATACCTGTCATCATGAAGTACAACAGGATTCCTAGCGCCCAGATGTCGACATAAACACCGACGTAGTTTTCATCTCGGAAGAGTTCAGGGGCAGCATAAGGAGGGGAACCGCAGAAAGTATTTAAAGTTTCATCTCTTTTACTGATGGTGCTGAATCCAAAGTCTCCCACCTTAACACAGGTGTTACTGGTGTAGAAAATGTTTTCTGCTTTTAAGTCCCGGTGAATGATATTATTCTCATGCTATAGAACAAGAAGAAAATACAATATTAGTTTGTTCATAGGGAAGTTCCCAAGTGACTACCCCCTATCATTGATTAATTGCCACACAGGGTAAAGAATTGCCTATTTCAGACAAAGTGAGAAGTATGCAGTACTAGCAAATTGAAAAGCTAAAATTGTTAACTAAGTCTAACAATTCTCTACTGCTAAGGAAGCAGCACAGTACCTGGAGGAAATAGAAAGAAGGATGTCATTTTAGGAAATTTGTTAACAAGAGATTGCTGTCCTTAAAAATATTTTTATTAAGTAGATTTGTGATGGCATCGTGGCTATCCCTGCATGTATAGATACCTTCATGAGCAAAATGTTTTATTTTTTTCAGGGTTCAGAACACTTTTGAAATTACTACATTTCTGTAATGATGTAAGTAACAAAAACTATTTATTTTTAAACGATGCCATTTTTGCATCTGTTCTGAGCACACGGACTTGTGAACAGAAAGCTTGTAGTTCATGAAGATCATAAGGGGAATGTGAACAGACAAAATAAGAAAGCTGCTATAATTCTGTTGTGTGATCCAATATCCTGTGAATAACTGGTCATGGCAAGAGAAAAGGATCACAAACTTGTGCCTTCTAATATTTCACACCCTTACAGGACACTGAGTTCAGTGGTGTCTGCTAGTTTTAGAAATCTGTAGTAAATAGGCTGCAACTTGTACCTTTTTTCCTCAGAAATGCCAGTAGCTGCCAAACACTCAAATCGAATTTGCTCTGCTGAGCGGACACAGACCTGTCTTGATTAGGTAAGGGCTTAACTTCATTGCTGAAATAACTAGGAAGAATGGAAGTGTTTGAGCACTTTCTGCTCTTTACCCTTAGAGGTGAGAAGGTGCACATGGATCTGGGGGCAATAGGGAAATCCTTCAATATCCCCTTCTGTGTCCCACACTTCTAAAACTGTCATTAGTAACAACCAGGGGATCCTCAGTCCTCATCTATGAGGGATGAGATGGGATACGGGTATCCTGAATTTAATGGATTAACAAAAATTAACATGTTTTTAGTAGAAGATAGTGTGCATGAGTGAAGAGGTTGGCCAAGTTGGTAGTCTGGGTTTAATGCTAAGAAATAGATGTGATCTTTAAAGTAAGGTCCAGTGTCTTTGGATAAGGTGTTGAAGCTAATCCATCATTTAAAGAACATCTCATAATTCTGTCAAAATACATTAAAAAAAAAAAGACATATTCTTTATATATTCTGTAAGCAGTTTGCAGCGTGTTTTTAGATGCCTGACCTGGAAATAAATACCCTTGCCTGTGATGACCTGGCTTTCAAAGCCCAAGTGAATTACGTGGCAGGAGAGGAGGCACCAGAGGGCACCCTGTGCCAACCTTAACAAGTCTTAGGTTTACTTCTCAAATACAGAAGAGTTTTCTAGTGTTTTTGTGCTGTAGTTACTAAGTAAGGTTCAGAGGAGGTTGTACTGGGAGTCGTTACCCTCTTCTGCCCTTGTAGGATGCTTTGTGTTCTACAAATTGCATCATTCTAAATCCAGTTGCAGTAATGAAGACTAGGCAAGAGGAAGTGACTTGCCTAGGGGTTTAAGATCACAGTTTGCACCTAAGTGAGGACCAGGAATTAACTGTCTTAATTGCCAGTCTCCCACATTCATTAATAAGTAAGTTGGGTGTTTGCAATACCTAGCACACTTTCTCTGGAATGCTTTCTGCTAGCTGAAGAGTGATGCTAAGTTTTGAAATATCTGGAGGGAAGAAACTGAGCTTTGTTACATGGTACCTACAGCAACATAGGAGAATGCTGTTACTAAATACATGGTTCTACCCACCAAATGCTCTTATTTCATTTTCCTCCCAAAAGCTGTCAACAGAGGGGCAATAACTTGGAGTGGATGTGAAAGTTCTCTTGGGTATGTTCCATAGAATCACAGAATATCCTGAGTTGGAAGGGACCCAAAAGGATCATCAAACCCCACTCCTGGCTCCACACAGAACTACCCAGGAATCAGACCACGTGCCTGAGAGTTTTGTCCAGACGCTTCTTGACCTCCAGCAGCTGGGTGCCGTGCCCACTGCCCCGGGGAGCATGTCCCAGTGCCCCGCCACTCTCTGGGTGCCGAACCTTTCCCTAACCCCCAGCCTGACCCTCCCCTGTCCCAGCTCCATGCCGTTCCCTCGGGTCCTGTCACTGTCCCCAGAGAGCAGAGCTCAGCGCCTGCCCCTCCGCTCCCCTCGTGAGGGAGCTGCAGGCCTCCATGAGGCCTCTCCTCAGCCTGCTCTGCTCGGAGCTGAGCGAACCAAGGGACCTCAGCCACTCCTCAAGCATCTTGTCCTTCAGATCCTTCACCTTCTCCATAGGCCTTGTTTGGACGCTTTCTAATAGTTTTCTGTCCTTCTTACATTGTGGTGTCCCAAACCACATGCAGTTCTGGAGGCAGCACAGAGCACAGCAGGACAATCCCTTCCCTTAACCAGCTAGCAGTGACACGCCTGATGTCCCTCAGGGTACAGCTGTCCCTCCTGGCTTCCAGGGTATACAGAACTTTAAGACAGCTCTTCTCTAGTTTGTTTGGTTTTTTTGCTGTTCAGAGATACAGGCCTGAAATCTTGGTAACAGTAAACCTACTACTTGGAAAAACAAAAGGTATATCCACAAATTCTGCCAAGTAGTAAGGAACAACGTGCCTGTGGAAGAGCAACTTACCATGTGCTTCACAGCAGAGACGATCTGGGAGAAGATTATTTTACACTCTGTTTCTAATAGCTTCCCTTCTGTAGTGATTTTAGTGAAAAGCTCACCACCTCCTGCATACTCCATCACCAAGTGCAGTTTTGAGAGCGTCTCCACCACTTCATACAGTCTGATGATATTTGGGTGGTGCAGTTTTTCCATGTTGGATATCTCACGAGACAGCAAACGTTGAGTCTTCTGGTCTAGTTTTGTCTTGTCCAAAATCTTGATAGCTACTTTCTCTGAAAAGAAAAATGCTTTTCCATGTTAACCCAACAGGTGCAAATGGTAACACTCTTTGTGTACAAGAGTGCTTGGTTATGTAACTGCAATGAAATTTCGCCTATGATGAATACAAGATAAGCTACAGCAGCCTCCTAAGCCCTGTCATCCTTCACACACATCCATGTTCCTTTCTGAACAGGAAAGGAAAAGTTTCTCCAGCATCCTACTCACAGCTGGTACAGCTAGAGGCTGGGAGAGTACTGCAAGTGCTAATCAAATCATCTGCTGTGTTCCATGGCTATCAAGCTAATATGTGTCTGATAACCACAATTACATCATCTATGTCAGGTGCCTAACCTAGGCATTGCAGCTTTCAGAACAGAAGTCTGGCCCCAAGTCAGAGAGATGGGAAGCTGGTATTGCTGCTCTCTGCTGCCTAGAAAGAAGTGGGCAGCTGCAAGTCTCATCTGGGTGTTACAGTGACCAGTGGATATGCTGCCTTCCTGCGACACAGACTGATCCTGCAAGGCCCCTAAGACTGGGTGGAAGATGCGTCTCCCTCCTCAGCTTGCTGCTCACTAAGTTGTTAAAGTCTGTGCTCTCGCTTTTCGATATTAGCTCAGTGCTGTTCAGATGAATTAGGTGTGTTATGCACAAGAGCCTGATTCTTCCAGACTAATGGAGGTGTTGAATTTAGGTGGTTTGTTTCGGAGCTGACACAATACTCAGAGGTAATTTAGGGACTTTGAATATAGCCCTGCAAGCTTGTAACAGAAAGATGTGTTTAAGTTGGTGTGACTTACAGAACGGTGGCCTAATGTCTTATCCCATATCCCCACAAATTCTCAGTTACCAAAATCAGTGTTGCAGAGGTTTGTCTTTCTCAGGATAGCTGAGCCAGTTTTTCCAACGTGTTCATGCATGAGTAGTTCTTGGTACTGCACAGAATACAGGAAAAGTACAATTTTATGTCTGTATACCACAGTGGGCCATGAATTCACACCACAGATAGACTTTACACTAAGAAAGTAAACAAAACAGTGAAGTAGAGTGAGTTGCAGGGATCCTGTAAGACAGCAAACGTGTCTTGTGCCGTCCTGGTAATGCAAAGCCATGGTTAAGTTCTGTGTGTTTCTGGAGCTTATCTGCAGTGAAGCCAGGGTCACGAAACACTCATACACACACGCAGCTGCACTGTACCAACAGGGAAGCTCCAACAGATCAAACAGAATTGTGCTTAGGTTTCTGTCTTAAACTGGTGGGCCATGCCTCTCACAGTTGGTACCTGAAGGATTACTCTGGTTAGGACAGGTTTACAGTGCCTTTGTGTAACTTATCAAGACAGCAAAATTAAACTGGAGCAGGGCAGGTAAAACAACTGTCTGTTCTTGGAAAGAAGCACTTCTAGCCGACCATTCACAGATTTAGACTAGTAACTTTTATCGAATCTTTTAGAAAAGAACTTCACCTTGCTTTCTAGCACACAGGGGCAAATTGAAAAAAATAAATCAGTATTGCTTATTTGTTCCTTTAAGAGAAGAGTGACAAGGAAGACAAAAAATGTTTCAGAATCCTCTTCTTACACCACCACGTATCAGGACCAAGGTCATTTAAATCTACATCATTGCATTTGGGTATGCGTGATATTTAAGAAAACCAGATGGCCTCAATTGTAAAAAAAAAAAACAAAAAAAAAAACCACCCCTTATTTTCCTTCTTAAACTGCCTCAAAAACAAACAAGCAAAAAAAAAAAACAAAAAAAAACCAAGAAAAACAAAACAGAACAAAAAAACAAACTTGGTTTACAAATCCTCTATTACCCTTGCATGGTAGCAGTTCAAACAGAAGGGCATTTTCTGTAGGCAATTTATTTACCAAAATTAAATAATAAAAAAATAAATACTTATACTAATTAAATAAAAAAAAATAAATACTGAAATTAATTAGCAAAAGATTTTGATTGATCATATGCAGGGTATGTTGAGGTTTTGAAAAGACCTATCTGAAATCTCAGTGAAGAACAGAGATTAAACGAAGGTTGAGAAAATATTTCAGGAAGAAGTGGTGTATGGTATGCTGGCAAAAGAAAACAAAAACAGAACTGACCTGAAATAGCTTAAAAACAAATAGGTGACTGGCCAGTCCTGCCCTTGCAATTGCTGCTTCACAGCAGACAAACTTTTTAACAGCTGTAAGTTTGGGGTGTTCTCAGTTGTATACATTCAGCTGTGCTCTCATACATGTGAAATAAGGATCACAGAGTGATTAGGAATCTAACTGTCCTCAACAAGCAACTCAGCAGGCATCTGGAGAAAATCCCTGCCAAAATTCAGGTTAATAACATGGGCAAGACTCCCCCCAAAAAAAGAAAAAAAAGCACAAAAGATTTTCCTACATCTGCTAAGCAAGCAAGACAACCCTTGTGAGAGAAACAAGGTTCTTCGTCAAGTACAGTCCTGCAGTTTTTTCCTGTCTTGGAAACTTTTCCAGGTATCCTGCTGGAACAGAACTCACAGGCTACAGAACAGCACACGTGTAATTACTTGCTACAAAAGCTGATCTTAGTAAAGAACAAAATGGTTTCCTTTCCCAATATGGGGTGAACTGTTAGGAGGAGGAAGATGCTTGGAACCTGCCACTGCAACAATTTCTGAACACCTGAATGTTCCCCCGCCAGATACACATGCCTGTCCCTACCACAGGAACCCAAACAGCAGGCTTAATAATGAAGCCTGTTTAATTTACATCTCAGCCAAGAAAAAGACTTGTACTCATTAGCACTGTGCGGACACATCAGCTCATTAACAACACAACAGTGCACAGCTGTTGGAAAAAAATAACTCCTCTTCCAAAGGGTGTGCATGTGTGCGTGCCTGTGCACGGGTGTGTGCGTGCACACGTTCCTGGTCTCCCATCCCTACAGTGTATTCTGTGAGGACACTTGGATGTGTGCAAGTCGATGGGGCCGGATGGGATCCACCCAAGGGTACTGAGAGAACTGGCAGAGGAGCTGGCCAAGCCCCTATCCATCATTTATCAGCAGTCCTGGCTATTGGGGGAGGTCCCAGCTGACTGGCGGCTAGCAAACGTGACGCCCATCTACAAGAAGGGCCGGAGGGCAGACCCGGGGAACTACAGGCCTGTCAGTTTGACCTCAGTACCAGGGAAGCTCATGGAGCAGATCCTCTTGAGAGTCATCATGCGGCACTTGAAGGGCAAGCAGGCGATCAGGCCCAGTCAGCATGGGTTTATGGAAGGCAGGTCTTGCTTGACGAACCTGATCTCCTTCTATGACAAAGTGACGCGCTGGGTGGACGAGGGAAAGGCTGTGGATGTGGTCTACCTTGACTTCAGCAAGGCTTTTGTCATCATTTCCCACAGCATTCTCCTCAAGAAACTGGCTGCTCTGGACTTGGACTGGCGCACGCTTCGTTGGGTTAGAAACTGGCTGGATAGCCGGGCCCAAAGAGTTGTGGTAAATGGAGTCAAGTCCAGTTGGAGGCCAGTCACTAGTGGCGTCCCCCAGGGCTCGGTGCTGGGGCCGGTCCTCTTTAATATCTTCATCAATGATCTGGATGATGGCATTGAGTGCACCCTCAGTAAGTTTGCAGATGACACCAAGCTATGTGCGTGTGTCGATCTGCTCGAGGGTAGGAAGGCTCTGCAGGAGGATCTGGATAGGCTGCACCGATGGGCTGAGGTCAACTGTATGAAGTTCAACAAGGCCAAGTGCCGGGTCCTGCACCTGGGGCACAATAACCCCAAGCAGAGCTACAGGCTGGGAGAGGAGTGGTTGGAGAGCTGCCAGGCAGAGAAGGACCTGGGAGTGATGGTGGACAGTCGGCTGAATATGAGCCAGCAGTGTGCTCAGGTGGCCAAGAAGGCCAACGGCATCCTGGCTTGTATCAGAAACAGTGTGACCAGCAGGGCTAGGGAGGTGATCGTCCCCCTGTACTCGGCTCTGGTGAGGCCACACCTCGAGTACTGTGTTCAGTTTTGGGCCCCTCGCTACAAGAAGGACATCGAGGTGCTTGAGCGGGTCCAGAGAAGGGCGACAAAGCTGGTGAGGGGCCTGGAGAACAAGTCCTACGAGGAGCGGCTGAGGGAGCTGGGCTTGTTCAGCCTGGAGAAAAGGAGGCTCAGGGGCGACCTTATTGCTCTCTACAGGTACCTCAAAGGAGCCTGTAGCGAGGTGGGGGTTGGCCTGTTCTCCGACGTGCAGTCTCCCTTGTGATAGGACGAGGGGGAATGGGCTTAAGTTGCGCAAGGGGAGTTTTAGGTTGGATGTTAGGAAGAACTTCTTTACCGAAAGGGTTGTTAGACACTGGAACAGGCTGCCCAGGGAAGTGGTGGAGTCACCATCCCTGGAGGTCTTTAAAAGACGTTTAGATGTAGAGCTTAGGGATATGGTTTAGTGGGGACTGTTAGCGTTAGGTCAGAGGTTGGACTCGATGATCTTGAGGTCTCTTGCAACCTAGAAATTCTGTGATTCTGTGACAGATGAGCTCACAGGCAGAGATGAGCAAGAAGGATATTTCCCCATCATCCCTTCTTCCTCAAGAGCATTGCAGACTTAGTATCAAAAAGTTAAATCTTTGCCCAGTGAACATTATAACCCAAAAAGCTACTAACAACAAAAGAAAAATAATTTTAGAGATTTCTGGTGAAAAGCAAGTTTCTCAAGGGAGAAAAAAGAAATGTCTTCAGTTTTGATATTTAGTTTGCTCAATATCACTCTGCTCACTGAAGTTCAGAAATTTCCAGTCAGCCCTACACACATTCTAAAGCAACCTAAGTTCAACAGGTGAAAGGTTTATCCAGCTCCAATTTATCTTTCCATCAGTGTTCCTCCTGTGCATGGTACAGGAGCAGCATTTCCATCAGCAGCAGGCAGAAGCAGCTTTCTCAGGAAGGAAAAAAATCACTGAGCATAAACCAAACAACTCGCTATGGGCCAAGTACAGCGGTGATGCCTCCCTGAAAAAAGCAAACCAAAAAAAGCCACACCCAGATAAACCAACCCTTAACCTTAAGCAGGCTTGAATTTTGGGGAAAAAAATACCACCAGTTGTCCACTTTGCTCCCAGTGCAACAACAGTATTGTAACTGGGCTAAACGTGAGCTTCCAGACCTCTGCATCTTGCCTGAAGGAGGTGGTCAGCAAAAATAGCAACTGATAACAAGGAATGAGGGCTTTGGGGAATACCTAGATCTCTCAGCCTTAAGGTGATGCAGGGAAGGAGAAACAATTGAATTGAAAAGGAAAGACAGAACAGAAGATATTAATGTACATGGGGAAAACAAGAACAGTTTCTAATATTGTCACAGACTGCAGAATAAGCCAGGTAGCTGAAGACAAGTTCTGAGTTATACCTGTAACTGAAATGTTTGCTGCAGCTACCTACCTTTTCTAGCTCCCCCAAGAAGCAGCTTATGCAGTGCATTTCTGTACTTATAAAAAGAAAAATAATTGGCAGTTCAACACAGCTTTCTATCCAGGTTTGGCTGTAGCAAAACTTGTCCTCCTGCGTCTGCTCAGCCCACACCTACATACCCTGTCCCAGCTTCCTATATGAATGCACTACCTGCAAAAGTCAGCAGAAACAACACTTCTCACCAAAACTACTGTTACTGAGTGAAAGCCTCAGCCATGCCAGTAAAATTTGCTGTGAAACAAAGGAAGCCTTGCTCAGTGGGGCTGTGGGCAGCCCTGAGCTGGGCCGGGCTGACAGCAGGAGGAGTGTTTGCAGGAAGGAGGTGCAACACTGTGAGGATAACTCCCCCGAGTGCACAGACAACTTTGCCACCCTGATAAAATGTTTCTGGCTGCCTGTCATGGATAAAGGCTGCTCCAAGCTAAGCGTTCACCCCTGTGCCTGCTTACACAGCCACACAACCAAAAAGGCACGTACAACCTGCATGTGTATTTAAGGTTCAGGCAGCATCTTCTTCCCGAAAAGGCCCATCTGTGTACACACAGAACTAGGGCGCACCGAAACCACGACCCACACAGCGGTGCCTACCTTTGGTCAGGGAATGAATTCCAAGTTTCACCTGCGAGAAATTCCCACTTCCTATTTCTCCTCTGACTCGATAGAAGCCAATTCTCTTTCCCAAGGTTAATTCTTTCACCACTTTTTCATTCTGGGACATATCCTGCATCAGTTTCTCAAATGGGGTCAGCCTCTGCTGGCTGCCCTCTTCGTCTCCTCCACAGCACCCCTCACGCCCGTAGTCCTCTCCGCTGTCCTCACGATTCCACCTGGCATAGCGGTGTTTCCCAAGACCTCCTCCATTCACATATCCTGTTGTCATAGTCTGTAGGGTGATCACTTCCCCATTTAACAAAACGCCCCAATAAGCAGTTTAATGAAGTGAAATAATTCTCATGAATATACAATCCAACATGTAATAGACACAGTGACAAACAGAAGGAAAAAAAAAAAAAAAAAAAAAGCTGCTTATCAGAAGTCCAAAGGCGAGTCTGGAAATTACCTTAAAAACAAATCATCTGTATTTACATGTTGCAATTTTGTCCAAAACTGTGGACAAAAATTGAAGCTATTTATGTCCATCTCCCACTAACAGATTTACCGTGTCAGGATCTCCATCTACAAGGTAAAAGAGGCTTTGCAATTAAAACTGTAAGCTTTGTGCACAACAGTGGTGAGTTGCTCACGTTCTATATAGTACCTTTGACACAAATGCAAAATATTTGACACAAATTTTCAGGCTTTAGCTCACTGTTTTGAAAACTAACTTGATAGAAAAAGGTCAAACAAATAGCTGTTTAACTGCCCTGAATAAACCCAGATGCTTCCAGTTCATTTTGAATAGCTGACCTTAAGAGCGTAGCTCTTGACTCTGGTACCAGTCCAAAAGCTGAACGCAGGGTTTTATTTTGATTCATTCTTCAGCCTGCGAGCTTGTCACTGTGCCTTGGAAATGACTGCCTCGAAGCCTTGCTGTAAATAGTCTGTTGCTCCTCTGTTTCCTTCCCATCGCTGGTTTAACAAAGCAACTGATCTTGGAAGATGACAGGAGAAGCATAATCTGTGCACCAGGCAAAAGAAACGCTGCGCCTCAGTATCACCGGAGTCACATGGCAGGACAATACAGGATTAGGTAACTGCAATGTCACTTTAACCCGCCTTTATTTAGATGAGCTTTCTTTAACGCCTTGAGCCTTCTCAAATTTTTGCCAGACGCATGGTGTTCCTAAGCAGACAGATGAAGAAAGTCATTAAAACCTTTACATAACAGCCATGCACCTCACTGAACGACAGCACACCGTGCATCATTTTACCAGTTTAACTCAATTTGTTTGGCAGCACACGTAAAGATGCCCTTACCCTGAATGCACAAGCCACCACTTATCTTTAAAACGGTACAGCATTTTTTTCTCCTTTACCCTTGAAAAATAGGAGTTGATCAGCAATTGCTAATCATGCAAACACGTCCTTCTGGGGTGGGGAGCTGGGCCTGACAGCTCTGCAGCACTGCCAGCAGTGGCAAAGCTCGCCTCTCCTGCTCCCAGCCTGCAGCATAGCATGAGCGATGGGCACAGGAGACACCCCACTGCTGTCGTACAAGGATTGATGGGGCTCGGAGGGAGCATTGCACCAGTAATTCCACGTGTGGAGCACCTACGGCACCACGATGAAAGAGGATCTGCGACAGTGCCAGGTGGAGCTGGTCTCCAAACCCCAACAGGAGGAGGAGAGGCCCAAGGCACCACAGAAGGGAAAGGAAGAGAAAAAGGAAGCTGACAACATCTGTCATTAAATGGGACCTAGAGCAGCAAGAAAGCATTCACCTGCTCCTGTTACGCAGCACTCTGCGGCGAAGACTGGAAAGAGTGTCTCTGCTTTGAGCTTGCCGCCCTGAAATGCATGCACATCGTGTCCCCTCACCTTCCCGTGCTCTGGCTGCACGGACAAAGAGCCTCCGGGCTGCTCCTCGCCTTCAGAGCACCCGAGGGCTCCACATCTCTGTCCCTCTCCTCCCCGAGGCACAGGCTGCTGCTTGCTGCCTGCCTGGCCCCGCAACACGCTTACCCCTGGCAGAGCTCACAACTGCAGCAGAGCAAGAAGTGTGTGTTTTGTGATGTGCCTTCGGACTCCTCTTACTCTTTTTCAAAGATAAAAAGTAAAAGTGTCTCTGCAGTAAAGCAGAGACAGAGGAAACTGAACGAAGCACCGGGGATCTCCCATCCACCCAGCCTCCTGTATCACCACAGCTGGCCTCGGACTTTGTTATCTGGCACCAGGGAAGAAACACAGAATGTATTTGTTCTCCTTTTCCATCTGGGGAAAGGACAGCTTCTTGTCAGATCACCTGAATTCCGGCCTACAGCTGTTTTCTGTTCCAACCTGTTCCATTTCACAATTTGAGACAATTTTAGGTAACAAAAAACTTGTTTGTTGAACCTCAACCACGTTTCACTGTTGTAATTGTGGACAGTACTCTGTCAGAGCAAGGCTTCTGGAAACAACTAGTCGAATGCATACCACAGTGACTGAAATTTTAGGAAGTCTGAAGAAGGATACTCTGGAGAGCTGAGTCTCATGAATGTCAGCCTATTCAGCATTAGAAGTCACGCCACTACAGACCACGTTCTGCAAAAATCGTCAGGGCCTTTGCAACTAACTGGCTGTATGGCAAGGGCTGAGTGCTCAGGAAGGATTTCAGGCCCACACCATCCCTCCCGAATGCACTTAGCAAGGGCAAAGAGAAGGCAGCCAGCACGGCCTACGTGAAAGTTCAGTACCAGAGCAGCAGAAACACCGCCAGGGAATGCCAGGACCTTGTGAGACGGGGTGTTAAGAGAAGGGCAAACTGCATTAAGGCATTATCACGTGGTTCTTCCAGAACCTGCCCCTGCCAAATTCTTGCCGGGGCCCAGCGTGCTCCATTTTAGAGCACTGCCCATCATCGATCTCCCTTCCAGGCGTCCCACTATCAGCCTGGCAATCTCCTGGCACGTAGCCAACTGGCTGGGTTTCCCCCGTCTTTTAAGATGAGCTATTTCGGTATTCCTCGAGTTGGCAGAATATATGCCATCTATTTCTGGCCTAGGTTCCTTCCTGTGACCCAAACCAGTAAAAATCCACCCTGACACCATAGAAAAGGACACTGTCTGTAAAAGAAAACAGCAGATCCTGGTAAGGAGAAATAAACTAGGAAATCAGAAGTCACTCAAATAAAATTAAGGACAATTATTCAACTTTTTTGTCTCCAGTATGGCTGTAAAACCTCATTATATATCTGCCCAAATTATTCATTACTCAAAAAGTAAAACAAGCAAAAAGAAAACAAACAACCAAAGTGAACAACACTCTAGGAAAAGCAACACAATAAGTGAATAAGTGAATAGTGAATAAGACTTATCAAGCCTTTAAAACATGTCCCAACACTGCTTGTTTGACCTTGTAACTCAAATATTTCCAGGTACTGATGTTCTGGTGCTATTCTAAGACGTGCTAAATGCCCTCAGACTTCAGCTGAAGGCTCACTTTAAATCCTGCATCACAGACATAAGGAAATTTGGAATGAAAGGGAAAAGAATAAAACAAAAAAGATCAGTGGAGATACAGATCCTGAAGTCCTACCTCACCAGGCAAATAAAAGTGACCTGTTTTTAAGGAGCTTTGAATGGGACACATGGAAGAGTACCAGCGGCTAGAACAGAGCTACCAGCACCGCGCTTTGCAACTTGCTCTCTTTTATTACGCCTGTCTTTTGCAAAAGCAATAAAAATCCAGATTTGTATACTTAAACAGCTGCAGCTCCTATTTCAATGAATGTGAAAGAAGGCACATAGGATGGTCTCCTAATGCTCGAGTCCTGAGAGTAACAGTTTGATTTTTATACGAGGATGCCACTGGAGATTGTAATACATTCACTAGAGTTCCCTTTTCAGCCCCTCTGCTTACTGCTTTGAGGACAGCGAGATTTTGGAGGTATTTTCTTAGGGCAGGGGATTAGCTCGATTTGTTCGACTTCCCCTGAAGCACAGCTCGTCTCCTTTGCACATTCTACATACTGCAAGCCAACCCTGGAACTGAACTGAATTTAAAGTAGCAGGGCTTTTTTTTAAGTAAGAAAATACTGATCCTTCTCTTTTACTATAGCTTTGAGAGTTCAGTTACTGCAAGAAAATACCAGCAATCTGAGACACTCGTATGTTCAGAAGACCTACCTTCCGTAAAAGACGAGAGAGCCCTGCAGGAAGGTTGACAAGACCTGTGTTACAGACCAAACACAACACAAAAGCCCTCCTGTGCAGCCACACAGCGTGTTCATTTATACAGGGGAAGCTGCAGCTCCACTTCTGTACCTCAGCTCAAGTCATATTGGTTCAGAGCAGGGCTGCTGTGGCCAGAGGAAATCAGTGTTTGTTCAAGGTTTGTCCTAAGCACATTTTTGGGGGAGTTGAATAAGCAGCACCGTCAGTGTTATTTCTGTGAACACCAGCAAACAGAGTGACCATATGAAATGCACACCTTGGAGCTGTGTATGGGTAGCAAAAAATACTCAGGACACACAACATAGCACGGCTACAGACTGAACTCGGATTCGTACAGTCCCAGCTGAGGCAGGAAGAAATGCTAACAGTGCTCAATACTGACTGTGGAGAGCCTCCAGAAAACAGCTCTCTTTCTGTCCAGGTCCACGTGCCACTGATTTCAGTGCATACTAGAATTACATGTACTACTGTTTTTTAGCGAAGCACTCAGCTTGGCAATTATTGTTCCATGAAAAAATAGACATGAACAACAACATATCTTTTAACCTTACAAGTACCCTTACCTAAAGCATGACCTTGTTTTTCCTCTCATGGAAGATTACCACACACAGCAGCCAATAGGCAGGCAATATAAAATATAAACATTCACAGCAGAATGTGCATAAGCTTCATTTTCTTTTTCACTTAATTGAAAGCCTATTTCTCTAATGTGAGATAAACACTTCCACATTTTAAGACAATGACCGTGAGGTGCATTGCAGTGAGGCACAGCGCTCCATGACCTCTTTCAGTGTGGTTTAGGTTGTGACAGAGCACTGGGGTACCACGATATGAGTGACTACTTTTAAGCAGAGCCTCCAGCAGTCTGAAGCAGCACACGGCGAGCAGGCACCTGCAGCTCCTTCAGCCGGGCAGCGCTGCTACAATCTGCATACACCGGGCAACTCCCAGCCACCCTGGCAGGCTGCACCAGCACAAAGGCAAAGCAATCTGCATGTCTATCTCTGCATGTCTTAGGGGCACCAGACACAAAAATGCCTTGAAGATGGCAAAGTGAAAGGGAAGGCTAACAACAAAATTAAAGAACAAGGACTATTATTTATCCTACTGCAGAGTAATTGATGAAACAGAACACAGGCATCTTCAGTGCCTTCTCTGTAAAACCCAGCTTGACGGCTGCAGCACTGACAGAGGAAGCAGAAAAGATGATAAATGCTTGTCCTGCAACTGACTCCTTCACCTCAACAAAGTGCCTGTCTGTTCCGTGTGTTTATGCTAAGCCAAGCAAACCAGAAATCCTGCTATAAAAAGAATAAAATAAAACAAACACCTAGGAACACAGCAACTCTACCCACACCTTCCCCTTTAATTGTGACAAAGAGCAGAAGACAATGCACTTTGCAACCTGTTATAAGTTTAACCAGCCCGAGCCCTGCGTGCCCAAAGCAGGGTTTGAGGGGCTGGAGGGATGTGGAGCCACCATCTGCCTGTGCTACAGACAGGGGAGCAAGGGCATTACTCAATGTTCCTGCCAAAAGGCCAGAGTAGTGAAATCTAGTTCAGCTGACGTTGCTGTGCTCTGATCTGGCATTGCTGCAGCAGGTACAGACACTTCAGAACACCTTTGTCTAAAGCGAGAAAAAAGCCAAGGTAAGAACAGAAAGTACAGCACGGAAATGATCCCTCAGACACAGCAGCTCACTGCCAGAACAAATTGGAAGAGACTTTGAAATTTTATTTACTTCTCCAGTTACCACTACCAAAACCAGGCCTCAGACTAACACTGCCCCTGCAGCCAGAGCCAGGGGGCCCACACGTGGTGCTGAGTCCCCCCGCCTGGCCAGGATTCAGACCACCCGGTGTGAGAGACACTGAGTGCCTGAGCAGCAAATCCAGCCTCTCTGGCCCTTGTCACAAACAAGCAGAAATGAGCTGTGAGAGGACCACAGCGGGCAAAGCCTCCCTGAGG